CTAGATTTGAATTTAGTTTTGCTACCCCACAAAATGTGCTAGACATTATTCTGTCCCTAAAATCTAATGCAGCAGGTTCGGATGGTATAACAGTCTCAATGCTGAAGCTTTGCTTGCCTCGAGTATTACTACCCCTGACGCATTTATTGAACTGTTGCCTGGAGGCTGGGTATTTCCCTGATGCTTGGAAACTATCTCTTGTCAAACCCTTGCCTAAATGTAAAAATCCAAAATGTCTCTCAGACTTAAGACCTATAACTTTGATTCCTGTTATATCGAAGATATTGGAGAAATTGATTAAACATCAGGTTTATCATTATTTCTCTAATAATGATTTCTTTCCCAAGTGTCAATCTGGTTTCCGCAGTGGTTTTAGTACAACTTCAGCTTTAGCAAGGGTTTTAGATGACATCATTGCTTCGCTTGATAAGGGAGATGCTTCAGCACTTGTATCATTAGATTATTCTAAGGCGTTCGATAAAATAGATCATGAGCTTTTATGTGCTAAATTGAAGTTTTTTGGTTTTTCAGACTTACCTCTAATGTTTTTTATAACATATCTTTCAAATCGTAAACAAGTAGTAGAGATAGACAACACTATATCTAGTCCGATTGATATAACATCAGGTGTCCCTCAGGGTTCAGTTTTAGGGCCCTTGTTGTACTTAATTTATACTATAGACTTGGGTAGCTCTGTGAAAAACTCTTCTGTGATGTGCTATGCCGATGATACACAGATATATAAAAGCTTTAATAGTAACACTTTGCATACTTCAATCAATGAGCTTAATGATGATTTGGAGGCAATAGTAGGATACTCAAATGGTAATAATCTTAAGCTCAATAAGGATAAGTGCTCAGTGATGCTTTTTTGTCCTGCTGTCAAACGTAACACTGTATTGAATTCTCTTGATGTAAAAATCGACAAGGAGCGTCTAGCTGTCGTAAATACTACAAAAAATTTAGGGTTGATTATTGATTATACTTTACGGTTTAAGGAGCATGTCTCGTCTATCTTAAAAAAATGTTATGCAACGTTGAAGTGTTTTTATGTCAATCGCTCTATTTTGAATTTTAAAGTTAGAAAAAAGTTATGTGAGGCTATTATATTTCCAAGCTTATTTTACTGTAGCACTGTGTTCTATCATTGTCTTGATTCTATCACAAAAGCTAGATTCCAAAAACTCCAAAATACTTGTTGTCGATTTGTATTTAATCTCAAGAAGTATGATCATGTTTCCTTAAAGAGATTTCAGCTTGGTTGGATGTGTATAGAAAATGCTTGCAAGTACCATCTAGCAGTGTTTACACATAAGATCATATCTTCTAGATCCCCCTTGTATCTTTATGAGAAATTTGTTTTCAGACGAAATAATTCAGACATTGATTTCAGACACAAAAAAAGACTAGAGATCCCTATGTATAAAACAACTTTATTTCGTAGTTCATACACTTACAATGCTATCCTGATTTATAACGAATTAGATGACAATATAAAGGATTGGCCAGTAAACAGATTTCGTAAGCATGTGAAACATATTTATTTGTCATTATAGTAATTTTGGAAAAGTTAGTTTTTAATTCTTACATTTAATTTTAGTTTACGTAATATATGTGTGTATATATGTATGCTAGGAAGCTATCAAGCTCGTTGTTTTGAAGCGTCTTTTGCTTATCAAAGTTTCTTTTGATTGAGTGTTTCAATTGAGTATTTGGGTAGGTTAAGTAGAGTAGCCAAGAGCTAGACTTCGCCTACGTAGAGGTCACATTATGTGGTAGTGTATATAATGTGCCTAATAAAGACATTTTATTATTATTATTATTATTATTATATGTCGTTTGCGTCTACGATAGATTGAATCGAAATAGAAGCTCATTCATTAATTTGCGTACAATGAATACAGATTTTTTGAAGTAATCTTTTCCTGGAAAAATAAATTCTTCATTACAACTTGTACAATGAACAAACTGGCTCTTAAAACTCATTTGCAACCATCCTGGAAACTCCTTCTCCCGCTCTTGTCTGCTATTTTAATTTAATATTTCTTTAAAAACAGATTAACTTTGGTTTCCTCATTGCTTGTCCCGTGACCCGTGATGCGGTGTCTGTACCACTTGTACGCAAGCCAATACAGGAAAAACGGAGTAAAGGATGTGCGTACATAATTATACGCAACCCAAAGGTATGTCGCGTGCCCGAATGCGTAAACGTACGCATATGTATGATTGGTATATGTCATAAAACTTCACAGTATTAATTTTTTTAGCTTTATTTTTGGTTCCAGTTCTTTTTTTTCAGTAAATATCTGGAAATATCTTAATTATTTTAAAAAAATCTGTAAATAGGATCTCAGTATAAATGCAGAAAAATCTATAAGTTCGGCAACACTGACGGTGTCATTCCTTTTAAACAGTTGGCTTAAATACCACACGGTCTTAAGCGATGGTATTACAACTGTCCAACCCAGTTTCAGATTGGACTCGGAATCGAAACCATCGGAATCGATTCCTTTGGAACGACTCGTCCAGAACCGATCCAGTTCTATATGACCCGTATATAAATATGCTCCTATTTCTGTCATTTCTCTCCCCACCTTATTAAGAAACATTGACGATGCTGAAAAACGGGCTGACAGCTTTTTTCCGTTCGAACAAAGGCGTACAAAGGGCACAGAAGACACTCGAGCTGTTTGTTGTTCATTAGTAGGGATCAAGCGTGCCCTGCAAGGGCCAAGGGCGCCCCACGCGGTGATTATTTTGATCGCAGGCGGCGTGGCTCCATGGCACGCCGCGACGTGCACCCGGCTTTAATGAATAATCTTCAGGACGTGATCGCGCAACGATTATCTAGCAGGCCGTGATTAGAGTTTAAAGCTGCTCCAGTTGTGGAGCTTAGTGTTAAGTAACGAGATGTGTACGGATCAGACAATGGGATTATGCATAAACCTCTTCAAAATGAAGATGTTCGCAGGAACGGATAAATATAATATTTAGAGGAGACCCGCAGGGATAGGTATTACGTAAGAAATCGATATAATGTCCAAACATGGGTATCAACTTGTGCACCAGGTAGTCACGCATGCTGCCATTTTGGATACGGCATAGACGAAATTGACGCTATCATCCTTGTTTCTAATACAAAAGCTGTAGTCTTAGTTAATTTTATAACCATTGTGTTTAATCACAGTTACTTTACTTCCCATTTACATTATGTGAACTTTCCTAGTTTTTATCAAGATATGCGAATATGTCTTTAGGGAAAATGGAATGTGTTCTAATTATCATTTTTCTCTATGGATATAATTAGTAGGTATTTGTACTGTTTGAATAGCGGTGACCATTATTATTATTTTTGGTAATAGTTTCTGCTGATAGTTGTGTTCTGTTGTCTGATAGATAAAATATCACATGAATAATAAGCATTGCTGTTACTATTTTAACTATGTTTACCTACTTGCCTAAGTTTCATCATCATATGTACGAGGGTGATCCCAGAAGTATCCGACCCAACGAAGAAAACAAACATTTTGTAACAAAATGTATTTATTTTTCAACATAATCTCCTTTTTGCTCTATACACTTTTCCCAGCGATGTTCAATAAGTTCGATACCCTTTTTATAATAAGAACTGTCTCTGACCACTGAGCCATTTTTTCAAGTTTGGAAACAGAAAATAATCCCAGGGGCCTAAATCTGGTGAATAGGGTGCATGAGGTAGCAATTCAAACCCTAATTTGTTAATTTTGGCCATTGCAATAACGGATTTGTGAGCTGGTGCATTGTCTTGATGAAACACTTTCTTCTTAACCTAATGCAGCCGTTTTTGCTTGATTTCATCGCTCAAACGTTGCAATAAGATCGGATAATACTCGCCATTGATAGTTTTACCTTTTTCAAGATAGTCAATGAAAATTATCCCACGCGCATCCCAAAACACCGACGCCATAACCTTGGCTGCAGATGAAACGGTCTTCGCCTTCTTTGGAGCCGGTTGTCCCTTTTGAGTCCATTGTTTTGATTGTTCTTTTGTCTTGGGTGTGAAGTGATGGACCCATGTTTCATCCGTGGTTATGAAACGACGCAAAAATTCTTTTTTTGCTGTGAAACTTCGCTAAACACTCAATTGAAACATCTTCACGACACTGTTTTTGCTCGATTGTGAGCAATCGCGGCACCCATCTTTCACACAGCTTTCTCAAGTCAAAATTTTCAGATAATATGCGATGAACCGCACTTTTTGAAATGCCTACTATGTCTGCTAGCTCGCGCACTTTCAGTCGACAAACATTCAGTACCGCTTTGTAAATTTTCTTCACCATTTCTGGAGTCGTCACCTTATTTGGTCGACCACTGCGATGCTCGTCTTGGCAGCTCATACGGCCTCGTTTAAGCTCTGCTACCCAATATTTTACTGATGTAAACGAAGAAGCAGACTCACTTAGAGTAGAATCCAGTTCAGCTTTTATATTGGTTGGGCTGAGGCCTTTGAAATAAATGTATTGTACCACATAACGATGATCAATTTTCACCATTTTGACAAATTCACTGAAAACGTTCAGTATTGATGGCTGCCAAACAAATACTAAACAACGTGGCGTCTTCAAACTTGACACATATGCTTTATGGGTTGCATACTTTCTAATACAATGATATTTTTCAAACAACTATCACCATCTCTAGGTCAGGCCGGCTACTTCTGGGACTACCCTCGTAGGTATATATTTTAGGACATGGTCACCCATGTAGAAAAATTCAAAGTGGGCAGGTTAGGCTATCAGGCCTGATCAACCAGTTAAAGCAGTTTTGCTAGCTATTTATCTAAAGCGAAGGGAGAACAAATGGTATAACACTGTTATGACGACATATACGTCAAAGTGACGTGACGAGCGAACATCATTTTTGGTCGATTCCGAGCTTGAATATTTAATTAGTGGCGAAACTTAGCTGTTCTGTAAGTAGTTTTAGGTATATCAAGTCTGAGCAGGAGCCCCGCAACATATATGAGCGTCTCCCAAGGGGGCTTGCCCCCTGGAAAGAAAAGGAAGGAATCGAAGGATTCAATGGATGCAATTATTGAAGATAATTCCCAGGTCGGTAATGATAATACAATTGACTATGATCTACAATCAGGAGTAATGCAGGTAGAACTTCCAACATTATCTCCCAAAAAAGCAGATCGACCGCTTTTAACATATAAGCAAACTGATAAGGGCCCCTATCATGTTTATATCGAAAACAATGAACCAAATTTCTCAGGTAAATTAAATCCAGTTAAGGTTGGTGAAACTATTCTCAAAAATATTCCTGAAGTTGACAACATGATTAAAAGAATTGAATCGATTGGACGCAATAGGGTAAGGATTGTGTTCAAAAATCCATCATCAGCAAATGTCCTGTTAAATAAAACGATTTTATTCAAAAATATCAATTTAGACGTTTATATACCCAAATTCATTTTATATAGACAGGGTGTTATTTCGGTGGACAAAGACTTATCAGACGAGTACTTGTTGGAGAGGATCAAACCTTTCGATTCTCACTGCATTTTCTCGGTGGATTCGGTTAAACGCATGCACCGGAAATCAGATCAAAATGGTGACATTAAATATCTACCTATAAATAAGGTTGTAGTTACTTTTCAAGCGCAAGAATTGCCTAAGCGTGTTGCTATAAATCACGTTCTTTTTGATGTAAACCATTATATACAGAAGGTAATTCTGTGTCATAACTGTATGCGTTATGGTCATTTGGGTAAGCAATGTAGAAGCAAGCCTAGGTGTGCAAAATGTCACGAAGAACATGTTACTAGCTCATGCCACAACGACTCTTTGGAACAAAAATGTTTAATTTGCGATGGCAGTCACTACTCATTTGAAACCTCAAAATGTAATGAATTTGAGAGGCAAAAGGCAATTAAAAAGCATATGGCAATGACTAATTCTTCTTTTAGAGACTCAAACAATGCGGTCCCAAAAACCACATATGCTTCAGTTACCAAAAATAATCCCATTACGCCTCAAGAAATCAATAGTTCTAATCTTCCATCTCAGTCAACAAAAGCTCAAACATCAATAAATATTCCAAATGCGAATTCGCACTTTACACAAAGGTTGTCTAAACCTTTGAAACGGAACTCGCCTTCCTCGCCAGATTTGACAGAAGAAGCTAGGAGACAAATTGTGAGTCAAATAAACACTCCACAGGTACCCGGGGGTATCACTAATAACCCCAGTTACTGTGTACATGAATTTAATACGAGAGATGAGACGTTCATCCAACAAGTTTCAGAATTGGTTATATTTGTTCTTACAAATTTTAGAGAAACAAACATTAACAGCTTGAATAAATCAACTATAACTAATCTCATAAGAGAAAGATTAAATATAGACAAATAAATTTAAGAATTAAGAAAATTACAGTATATTTTTAATCATTTTACACTTTTACCAAGGTGTTCGCACGTTATAAAAAACATAAAATAGAATCTATACAATGCATTTAGAAACCACAATGAATTTTTTGAGGATATGTCAATGGAATTGTAGATCGGCTATAGCAAATAAAGGTAATTTGGAACACCTTTTAGAAGAACAAAATGTGGACATCGCACTTTTGTCTGAAACCTGGTTTAAAATGAATACATATGTAAAATTTAAAGGTTATAACGTTATCCGTCAAGACCGGCCAGATGGCAAAGGAGGAGTGGCTATACTGATGAGAAATAGTTTAAAATATTCTCAAATATCATTAGTTGCTTGTAATAAAATAATGAAAGTATGTTCTACAGTAAAGTTTCAAGGAATCTCAGATATTACATTCGTATCAGTATATATTAAACCACAAACCAAAATCACTAAACAGGAATGGATACAATTTTTTAGTTCCTTACACAGTCCATGTATTATAGGAGGTGATTTTAATGCACATCACACTTCATGGGGTTGTGCTCAGGATGACGTATTTGGGAAAATCCTGATTGAAGCTCTAGATGACAGTAATCTCAGTTTTATCAACAAAGGAGATCCAACTTATGTAAAATATCAATCAAAATCAGCAATAGATCTTACATTATGTTCACCTCAAATTCATCATCAGCTAGAATGGCGAACCTTGCCAGACCCATGTGGTTCAGATCATTTGCCTATACTTATCAATTGTAATTTTACTCCAGAAAAATTGTCATTTGCATCAAATAGAAAATGGAACATAAACAAAGCTTGCTGGAATCAGTTCTGTTTCGAGAGTATAAATAGATCTTATGTAGAACCTGTTATAGATTACAGCACTTTCATCAAAAATGTTAACCAGTCAGCTGAAGCTTCTATTCCGAAATATGAAAACAAAAATAATGTCAAAGGAAAACCATGGTGGACCAATGAATGTACTATAGCAGTAGAAAAACGTAAGGATAGTTTTAGACTATATCAGACAAACCCAAACCTCGAAAACTTACTTAATTTTAAAAAACTTGACGCGAAGGCCAAACAAATATTCAAAAAGGTTAAAAGAGAAAGTTGGCGTCAATATTGTTCATCTTTAAATAGTAACACCCCACTTAAACAAATTTGGAAGCAAGTTAACTTGTATAAAAATAGGCGACAGAGTAATTATCATGTTATAGAAGCTTCAGCAGAGTGGGTACAGGAATTTCATTGTAAGTTGGCCCCAAATTATGTAAGTAACAACATCGAAAGAAGAATCTCAACGTGGACTAACCATGAACTGATGCAACCTTTTACCTTGATAGAATTACAGAGAGTCTTCAAACAGAACAACAATACATCTCCGGGAAAGGACCAAATTCATTATTCGATGTTATACCAACTACCTACAACAACGAAACAATCGTTATTGGATATTTTTAATCAAATATATTGTGGGAATGCTGAAATACCGAAAGATTGGTACGATTATATAATTATTCCAATTCTGAAACCTGGAAAACCAGAACATCATCAAGATTCATATCGTCCCATTGCACTAGCTTCATGCGTTTTGAAAACTTACGAAAGACTCATCAAGAACAGGTTGGAATTCTACTTGGAGAAAAACCAATTGCTCCCAAGCTCGCAATATGGATTTCGAAAAGGACGGTCTACTCAAGACTTACTGATAAAGTTAACAACTGATATCCAAATTGGATTTTCGAATAACACGCATACTTCTGTAATATTTTTAGACGTTATGGGAGCTTATGATAATGTAGACTTGAATATACTATACAGTAAAATTATAAATATTGGTCTTCCAAAAGAACTTGCCAACCATTTGTTGTTACTGTATAGCAATAGAAACATTTTCATCAGAGCCTCTGAGCAGACTATTGGACCACGATCAACATCTAAAGGACTAGCACAAGGGAGTATATTGAGTCCCATCTTGTATATAATATATTCCTATGACTTTGAAAGAGCTTTTAATTCAAGAGATGCTAAAATATATCAGTTTGCAGATGACTATGCCATTAGTATCCAGAACAAAAATTTATCTCAATCTATGGAACTTCTAGAAACAGCGACTTCCATTGCACACGAATGGTTTGAGAATAATGGATCTTCCATTGCCTACTCAAAATCTTGTGTATGTACGTTTACCAGATCTCGTCTTAGTCCTCCAAATATCATCACTCTGGCTGGGCAGAATATATCCTATAAAACTTCTGTCAAATATCTAGGAGTTATCCTAGATAAAAAACTTAACTGGAAAGAACATATTACATACATATTAAAGAGAAGTCAGAATGCTTTTAACATTCTGAAGTCCTTTTCACATCGGAAATGGGGAGCAGATCCAGCAGTGTGCTTAACCTTTTACAGGACCTTAGTTCGATCAATCTTGGACTACGGATCAATACTTTATGGAAATGCATCTAGAATTCATCTTCAAAAAATAGAACAGATCAAAAATAAGTGCCTTAGGCTATGTATCGGATATTTGAATAGCACTCCCATCAATGTCATGGAGGTCGAATGTATCGAACCTCCTCTTCAATTGAGACGACAAATGTTGAGCGACAAAGCCCTGGTTAAACTGGTCAGCAGGGGATTCATTAACGAGATCCACCAATTGTTTATTCATGGATTAACAGCGAAATACTGGCAACACAAAAGGCTTCCTCTGATCATAGAGAGTTATGAGTGGCTTCTTCCTACCGTCAAGAAGGTACACTCTAATCAAATCAACCCATGTTTCATACCTGAATATTCGGCATATAACCCTCCACCCGAAGTTATCTTTACGAAATATTCCGAACTAGATTTATCAACACCTTACAAATTCCGGCATGATATTCGAACACGATGGAGTGGATGGGAATATATCTTCACGGATGGTTCGAAGAAAGACAATTTAGCGGGATGTTCATTTTATCACAGCAACAATTCATATCACCAAGAATTCAAGTTGCCACCTGAATGTTCGGTATACACAGCAGAACTGGTTGCGATCAACCAAGCTATTGAATACTGTTTCCAATTCCATGGAAATAAGAATTTTGTTATTTTTACCGACTCTAGAAGTGCTGTAACAAAATTGGAGAATTGTCACCCCACTGCAGATCTTAATCATCTAATTGCGAACATCATCAAGCGCATTCAGGAGCTGAATAGAATCGACAAAACTATAAACATAGTCTGGATCAAAGGCCACTCAGGTATAAAAGAAAACGAGATGGTAGATAATTTTGCAAAAAGAGCTACAACTAGAGGCGATTACGTTCCGGGCATAGAGATTCCTTTTACTGACGCTCATTTTCTGATCAGACAACGACTAAAGAATAAATGGAATAACCATTACAAAATCAGTCCAACAGGAAGTTACCTGAAACGTATACAAGAGACTCTTCGAAGCAGACCTTGGTTTCAAGGAATTACCAATCGTCCTTACATTAGAACCGTGAGCAGAATAAGAAGTGGTCATGCCCTAACGCCCCATCATAAATCAAGAATTGGATACGGAGATGATCCACTTTGCAGTTGTGGAAATATAGGAACCTTGCAACACTTAATATTAGAATGTACAAGTTCTATCAACGAAAATTCTGAATTGTATAAAATTTTAGCGAATCACCTTCCTTTGCCTCTAAATTTAGAATCAATTCTCAGTTCTGAGAACCAGCAAGTTTACGAACTTTTATACAAGCATTGTCGGAAAGTAGGCCTAACATTATAAAATGTAAATTACAGTAAGTTTGTTTGAAAAAATGAAAAAAAGAGGAAAATATTGAGAGAAAAAAAAAAAAAAAAAAAAAAAAAAAAAAAAAAACAAAGAACAATCTTATAAATAAAATAGAGAAAAGGAAAAAATAAGTAAAAAGTTGGTTGAAAAAAAAAAAAAAAAAAAAAAAAAAAAAAAAAAAAAAAAAAAAAATGCGTTTGTATACTACAAAGTATAATAGAAATAATATATAATAGTAATATTAAGTAATGGATGTTCTATTTTCTATTAAAGCATAGCATTATACTGAACATAGGGATCTGGCCAGTTGGTCATCGACCAGTGCCAATAACAGAACAAAAAAAAAAAAAAAAAAAACTGTTATGACGATTAAAAAACGCACGTCACTCGTTGTCTAATAAACGGGTAGGGTACTCTTTGTAGAATATTTTACCCCTAAAGCCAAAGGAGGAGATGTGCTCCCTAATGAGCACCCATCTTTAGGGTAGTTAGGAGTCGTTCTCATTTTAGTTTTTTGTCATATACATAGTTATGAAAATAAAAAAACTTCAATAAAAAATGCTATAGCAGTTCTTGCAACTTGCCTTAGTACAATTCCACTTTACTAACACCTGCAAGATAAATTCCAGGGTTTACTTTGAAAATTTTTTTACGAATCCATCAAGGTCAAATTCCGTAAGAAGTAATTTTATATGAAGATGTCTAAGAGAAAGCCTGCTGTTATTTCAAGGGTCTCAAGAGGCAAATCTGAGATCACTCACATAACGCACAGTGCGTTGGACCTTTTGCGACTCGAGGGGGCCCAGTATAGTGGTTTATGGGGGCCCAAGAGTAAAGAAAATGTAAGCTCCTAAAATCATGATGCTCCAGAACGCATCCCCTGGTGAAGCAAGTTCTACTTGTAGTTGTACTTTTAAATGATACATCGCGTATATTTTTAGTAGAAATGATAGATTTTTTTAAGAATCCATCAAGGTCAAATTCCGTAAGAAGTAATTTTATATGAAGATGTCTGAGAGAAAGCCTGCTGTTGTCTCAAGGGTCTCAAGAGGCAAAGCTGAGATCACTCACATAACGCACTGTGCGTTGGACCTTTTGCGACTCGAGCGGGCCCAGGAAAGCGGTTTATGGGGGCCCAGAGTAAAGAAAATGTAAGCTCTAAGTTCTAATGAGTAAAGTTGTACTTTTAAATGATACATCGCATATATTTTTAGTAGAA